AATTTGAAATTGTGTTGAAAATAATCTGTTTTGAATCTGCCAGAATGTTTGTCCGAATTTTTAGACAATTTTATACTCAAAATTTCGAGATAATTTCTTCTACAAAGTTGTTGATAATGATGTCTAGTTCATTCAAAAAATTTGGAAACAATTTTTGAGCTTTCTACGAATTTATACAAAATTTTAACTAAATCTAAAACTGTGAGACAGATTTTACTATGTATTTGAAAATTTATTTAAAATTCTATACTAAGCCAAATCTGGTAATTTCTAACTAAAAGATGAAATTTGAGAAGTCTAGTTTCATGATTAAATTTTAGATTATGGATTTGATCTATAAAATTAAGCATTGAATTAATGTAAGGAAATGTGACAAATTTGTGTCATAAAGATTGCTGGAAATTTTACAGGATTATTTACATCTTATTTTTATGAAATTCTTTCTGAAAAGTGACCTAAACATCCCTATTGAGTATTCTGTTCAATTGGGCGAATTTTAGGATTGTGTAAATAATTTATTTAAAATTTTAATATCTAGGTTATTATGTTCATACCATGGTTTAAATTAATTGTCTGTTAAATTTTAGACATTGAATAATTTGTGTTTATTATATAGAGTTAATGATAGAGGGTTAATACCGGTTATTCAGGGTGAGCCCTGGTTTTTAATAATTTTTAAGTAAATCGTGCCGCGAAAACCCTAAGATGGCACGGGAATTATTTGAACTCTTATCGGTATTTGATTTTGGAATAAGGGTGGATGTGCAGGTGGCACGCAGGAAAGTTACGTACCCCTGGTAAACCGTTCCCTTGGGACAGACCACGGATGTCACAGCTTGGGTATATAACTCCGGGCATGGGCATCTTTGGTAGTTCTTGAATATTTGACAAAGAGGGGGTTTCCAAATTAACCGTGACCATGACTTAGTGATTGGTAAGTTAAACCTCTTTGGCGAGATTTCAAAGGTCACCTAAGTTATTAAAATTATTTGAACTATTTTATTGGTTGTAATTTATATTTACAATTATATTATTATCTCGTGTTTATAATCTCGTTATTTTCTCTAAAAAAGAATAGTAGGTTGGTTATGTTTTCTTACTGTGTTGCAAAACTCATGACATATATTTTGTTGCCCTGGCGTTTCATGCCAGATTATGTCGAGGAAGGGACTGAGGCTGAAATTGGAGCTGCTGCTAATATCGAACCTTGGCTAATTTAGAGTCAAGAATTTATCAAAATAAAATCCTGCTATTTCTTGTATTAGTACTTAACTATGTTGTGACGTTGTGTGTGAACTTATAGTTTTATTTTGTTGTTGGACTTTGACTATGTAAGAATTTAAAATTTCCTAATTAATAGTTAAAATTTTATCTAGCAAGTTATTGCTATTTAAATCTTATGACGTTTCAAAAAAAAATTTGGAGCGTCACAACTATAATTAAAATGATATCAATATTCATTCCTTAAATTTTGCATCCTTTATTAAATTATAAAATAAATTTTCAAATTTAAATTCTTCTTCAAATTATATTACTATAATTAGAATGAGATCCATATTCACATGTGTCATAATGATGTGTCATATTCTTTTTTTTGTTTTAAATTTTATAAAAAAAATTATATCTTTCTAAACTATAAGGACTTGAACAATAATATTTTTTAATATAATTTTGTTTTAAATAAAAGAACAAAACATAACTTTTTTAGTACTTACCAAACATGGTGAATTTTGTTAGATTTTTTTTTTTAATCTCAATTGTCAATTAAAAAAATTAAAATAAAGAATAAAGATATCTTTGGCTCAAATTGTTAAAAAGTTACTTTTGCTAAAATAAATTAGGAAGAAGCATTATTATTATTATTTTATATTAAAAGTGATAGTTCGTTAAACTTTTTTTATTTAAAAAAATAGGGTTATAGGTGATAATTTATTGTTCATCTAGAATTATTTTCAAATTAAATGAAAATACCATATTAAATTTTCTTCTTACCTTTTTTTATTCAAATACTTTTATTTTGTAAAAAAATTGTTTTTATTCTATTTAATATTTTATTGTAATTTTTAAATTAAAAATAATTTCTAAAAAATCATATTTAAATTATTTATGCCATTATAAAAAGTAATTTTTTTTATAATATCAATCCCTTTCTAAAAGGTGTATTTTTAAATATTTAAAAAAAAAAATCTATTGAAAATCTTAAGTATATTGCTTTTTCTTTCGTTCATTAATATTAAACTTTTAATTAATTTTATTTATTATTTAAAAATATAAATTAGCAAACAATTTATATATTTATATATATAATTTTGTTTTAGTTGCTCAGGTTATTTGGTGTTTCTGCCTAAGTCCACTCAAATTTAATTTGAATTTTTAAATTTCTACATAGGTTCTCACTTAATTAAAAACTATGTTGTTCAATCTTTAAAAAAATTTAAACTCGACTCAAGTTGTTTGGGTTTAGCTCACCTAAGTTTGCAATTCTACCAAAGGGGTTGAAAGTTATATGATTAAATTTGTGACAAATTAAAAAATAATAAATAAACTGTGATAAAATTATGGAATTTAAATTGTAAATTTCAATATTTTTTATTTTCATAATTTGCGTACAAAAATTTTACTACTTATATTATTTTGTATAAAAATATATTTTAATTTTTTAACTGCCGTACATACCACAAGTTACCACTACTTGTCTCAAACAAAATCAATGTTGGATGTAAAGTTCTAGAGAAAAAAGATGAAAATTTACTTTCTAAACTAACATTACCACAATAAAATTTCATTGTCCAAGCTAATGTTAACACAATAAAATCTCAATGTCGAAGTATAACAGTTAAATGATAAAATTTATGGCGAAAAAATACAACCTTTGTTATCTTTGAAAAATCCATGTAATAAAAAGAACCGTCCCATATGATTAACATGCACAAAATTATATTTAATTGAAATTTGAATGCTTAAATTGATCTAAAATCAAATTGTTTAGGGGTAAAATCGATATTATTAAAATAATATAAGTTCAATTAATTTTTGAGTGATAGTTTGTTGGACAAAATAATATTTCCTCAAATTTTAATGAATTGGATATTCAAAAGTTTGGTAAAATAAGTTCAAGCCAACAAATTTTTTTTTAAATACCCTACAAAAAATATAAAAAGAAAATTAAAAAAAATCCTCTACCATCTTCTTGACCATCAATAGTGGAAATGTTAATGGAGAGATTATCAAAATTGTAAAATTCTCAAGATTTTACGGTTGAACAATAAATTTCACTGTCCAAGAAAAATAGTGAAACTTCACTGTCCAAGAAAAATAGTGAAACTTCACTGTCTGTGTGTAGAATTTAAAAAGTGAAATACCACCACTAATCACCATCACCAATTGAAATTTTTATAGATAATTTTACCAAATTAGTGAAATTTCTCAAATATATATATACAAAGTAAGATTTCACTGTTCAATATAGAAGTGTTAGATCTCACCATCACAGTATAGTAATTAAACTAGGCAATTCTATCACTACGAACCACCACCACAATCAACGAAGCATAAATCAACCAAACCCCCACCAATAACCACTACCAAAAATATAGAAACCTTATTTTTAAAAAAATAAAAAAGAATATGGGTTGGAAAATCTAGTTAATAAACAAAAAAACAATTCAGTCTAATTGCATCTAAATAAGTAAACCAATTTATTTTTTTACATTGTTCTACAACAACTCTTCCTTTTGATAATTTTTTTTTGTAGTGTTGCACGGAAACAATCCTTTTCTTTTACATCATAGCACCCACATTTTTTGACACATATTTAACTTCTCTATCGATATTGTCATTATACTTTACTTTTCATAACCCTGGTAAACTATTTTGTTACGTAACAAGGATTGAAACCTTAAAATGTAGAGATATTAAAACAATGCCACCTCAAGTATTCTAATTGAAAGCAGACAACCATGAAGCTCATGTTTACAATCTGATTCATGCTTTCTCTACATCTCCCCGTTGATATTTTTTTTTCTTCGTTTGATACACTTTATTTGATGTGGCACCTATTTTTGTCCACACTGTAATTGTTCAATTTGTGTTTCGTCTACATGTTTCTATTGGAACTTTCTCTTTCGTTCGATTCGCTCCATCTAATGTGCCACCGTGCAAACACTATACCTGTGTGCCTAATGGACCACTCATGGTTCTTGTCAATTGTTGTCACATCATCATTGCTGGCAACACATGTGACTTGGACTCATTTCTTTTTGACACCTAGCCCAGGTTTGTTTTGTTTGTGGCCTCTAAATTGGTAATCCGTTCGTACTAAGATAAATCTTAAGAGAGCGGATTGATAGTCCGAGCGAAGAGGTGGTACTACAAAAATAGTCTGTCGGCTTAGTGAGTTGTCAGACGTCCGGCTACTGAATTTTTTTTTTTTAACTTGTTGGACATTTTTTTTTAAACATTAATGTTTAATGTTTAATGTTTTTGTATTTTTTTGTTAACTAAAAAACATAATTTTATTTGTTTTATTATTTTATATAAAAATAATTTAACAATTCCCTTACTATCAATTCCCTTGCTAACAAAACAAATACAATTTTATTAATCCCCTCACTATGAAAACAACACAATTTTATTAATCCCCTCATTAAAAATTCTCTCACTATTAATTTCTTCCATTTTATTTCTGAAAACAAACGAGGCATTTAGGTAATCTACATTGTTGAATGACAAATCAAATATATATGTGCCAAATTGATATTTTGTAGCTCTAGTAATGGTATTTTGGTTATTACGTAGGTGCTTGTGATGTCTTGATACAAAGTCTAATGTTGTCGAATTTTAGCAACTTATTTGGTTGAATAATACTTTTTTTCCTTTAGATGTTGCTAAATTTAAAGCATTGGCAGCTCAATTGGCACGGCGGATGAAGAAATAAAAAAGAAAAAGAAAAAAAAGAAGTTAAAATAAAAGAATATCGCACAAATTTGGACCTTTTCACATGAGATTCGATCAGATATGAAATATCTAATTGTACCTAAAACCAAATAAAGAAAGCAAAGCACAAACAGCAAATACAAATTAGGTAAAAAAATCCAAACAAACAAAAAGTCAATCCCCACTACAATCTTTCCTCTTTTTTTTTCTTTTTTTTCCTTTTTAATTTTTTATTCTATTACATTTATAGATACCAAATAAAATAAAATTAAAAAAAAAAAAAACACTAGTGTAACGACGGCGGTGATGGTGGAGGAGGAGAAGCATATTCGCATCAAACCATGGTTGGTTCGCATCAATCAAACAAGTTGGTTGTTTTTTGATTATTTTTTTAATAAATAAACCATGGTTGGTTTGCTTTGATTGAAGCCATTGATGAGATGATCTTGATCAGCTAGAAGATTGACGCACCGAACAAGCCACCACTTGTGCCCATTGTCTCAACCTCGTCTTCACCGTCTGAGGATTATCACCTTCACCACAAGTTTCCCACATACCAAACACAATTAGATTTCATTAAACTAATGAAACGAAGCTTTTAAAAATAAAATTTATTTAAAATTTAATTTAACAATAATTATTTTTACATAATTGATATTATCTTAAATTTTGAGACTCGACATATTGAAACAAAAAGAGAGGAAATTACCGGGATCGAATATGGAGTGGTTACCAACGGAAGACGACGGCGAGTCACACTCGGACGCCGTCGTGGAGGACTTCGAATTCTCATAAAACTGCTTATTAACAGTGTAATAGAGCCCTAAAGCAGGCAAAGTATCGGACAACCGTTGATCGATCTCCGGCGATTCGAACCCGAACCCTAGTTCAATACACGCCTTTAGCTCATCGAGGTCCTCGTCGGTGACGCTCTTGCTCCGCCGTCTGCGGCTGTCGTGGTTTCCCTTCCGCCTCAGCCACGCCTCGTCGCGGTAGGCGTCGGGAGACCACGATTTCTGTTTTAAGAGCGGCGCAACCGCCGGTGGTGGAGGAGGAGGGGCGGCGGGGCTGGGGTGGTGCGACATGGGTGAGGCCTTCTTGTTGCTGCCCAACCCCTGGGGCCTTGACCGGGGGGTAAGCGGAGGTCGTCGGACCCCGCGGGTTGTTTGGGCGAGGCCTATGTTGATTGGGTCTTGGTTTTATACTTGAAATTATTGGGTTTGTTTTGTTGTTTATGTTAAAATTGATGTATAGAGAAATAGAGAGAGAACCAATTATGTATATGATTGATATTGAATGTTGTTGATTGATTTGTTGATCTATTCTGTATGTTTACAAAGAGATTTACACTCTCTTTATAGAGAGGAGAAAGCCAACATTGGGTGCCAATTGAGGCACCGAAAGCATAAAGCAAGGATAATTATTACAGCTAACATAATGCTGTACTAAACATAATGATAACACTAGCAATACTAACATAGAATACTAACATCACTAACATATAATACTAACATATTTTAACAGTTTAGTTGTAGATAGAGAGAGATATTGCGAAAAATTATTAAATTAGGAAAGCTTAGTTTGGAAGTATGAAAATTTGTAACTTTTTTTTTTTTTTTTTTTAAAATTTTGAGCCATAATCCATGTTATCTCGAAAGTGTTGTGTGATTTAAATTCAGGCTTCGCTTGACATTCACAATTTTTTTTTTGAATTTTTGTCACTAATGATCTTTTTATTAATTTGATTTCAAAATTCAAAATAACTTCTCAATTATAAATAGTGAGATCTACATATAAAATAAATCATAATTGCACACGTATTATTTTTTTTGAGTTCATAGTACTATTACTAAGTAATATTTAAATATTATTTGATGTTATTTACGTGATATTTTTAACAAATGAGATATTATAATATATATTGTAAGTCATTCTTATATCTTAATCACTTAATAGAAATAAATTACTTAGCTTTGATTAAAACCAATTTATACTATACAAAAAATAATTTAAAATACCATGTAAACAATGTTATATAGCGAACTTGCGAATACCCAATAATTACTCAAAGATATTAACATTTGTTTGTTTTCATTTTTTTTTTGAGTTTTCAATTCATATTTTTAGATTTTTAATAAAATTTTTAAATATTTTAATCATTTTTAAAATTTTTAGATTCAATATACACAAAAAGTAAAAAAAAAATTAAAATTTATTAAATATAACAAAATATGAAAATGTGTCAAATATTCATATATATGTTTTTTGTATTCGGTGATTTTTAAAAAAAATATATATTATTATAACGGTTGGTTTGAAAATTGCAATTGGAGAGATGGGTGGGGCCAGGGGTAGGTGGGTCCAACCATCAAAGCCAGCATTGGTTGGTCCGCGTTATCACCACCTATCTCTGCTTTTCAAAAGTGGAGTAATTGTGAGAGGTGATTGGCTTGAAAAAAATCTTAGGGGTCCATTATCTCACATTAATTACTAATTTTTATATAAACAATATATATATATATATATATAAATTTAAGACAAACTTTAAATATATCATTGAAATTTGTTTAAAACATAAATTACGTTTTATTATTTAAAAAATTATAACTATTTCAATGTCATAATTTTTTATTTAACAGAACTAACTGAAAAAATAAAATTCTTAATTGTTCTCTTATACAATAATAAATTACTTGAATTATTAATTAAAATAAATTTCTGATATCATTAAACAAAAATGTTAGAGGCCTAAAAAATTCTACCAAATATTTTACCAAATGTCTCACATGGGTGTGGAACCCACATGGGACCCACATTGTGTGGGTTCCACACCCATGTGAGACATTTGGTAAAACTTTTGGTAGAATATTTGGGGTCTCTAGCATTACTCATCATTAAAAATTGTTAATTAACTTGATGATTTATTAATAAAATGAGTCATTTATTATGAAATTAAAATTTCAAAAGACAAGATGTAATTTTCAAAATCACATAAAATAATTCGTATTTTAAGTAAATCTCAAAAGATGTATTTATAATTTACTCAAAATTTTATATAGAATAATGTGACACCATTATGAACTTATCACTTTAAAATTAAGAATCCTTCAAGTTGATTATTAGTTACATAAATGTCACAGTCACATTATTTTTATAGTAGATTTTATAAAAAAAAATTATAAGAATATCTTTTTTCTTAGACAAAATATTAATATAAATGCGATGAACTTCGTTGTCCAAATTAATTATAATTAAATTGAGAATTTCGTGGCAAATATCTTTGTAGATATTCAAAAAAAATTGGGTGATCCATTTGACAACCTGGTAAGATGTAATATTTTATAGGAGAAAATACATGTCAGTGCAACTGTAAAAATTAAGGGCAAATTACATATACACCCCTCGAGGTTTGGTAAAATTACAGATACCCCCCTGAGGTTTCGGAAATTACATCCCGCCCCCTGAGGTTTGTATTTTCATAACAATTTACCCCCTGAGATTTATATTTCATAACAAATTACCCCCTAATTTCTTATGTAAATATAGCATTCAGGGGGGAATTCGTAATTTCTCAAACCTCAGGGGGTATTTGTAATTTAGCCAAACCTCGAGGGGTGTATATGTAATTTGCCCAAAAATTAATTACTGATTGCCGGACTAGTTTATTATTTTATATTTGTAAAATTTATTATTAATTTGTATTTTTTTTTTAACCCTACACTACCATATAATTTCCCTATTTTATATTATACTAAATTTTCTTTTGTTATATTACAACAACAATGAGGTTGTTAGTTGTAATGAGGGTTGCAATTGTCCTAGGTGGAGCTTGCTCTATTCTTGTTTGCAGAGAATTGGGAGGGGGAGAAGGAATTAGTACACTTGACAAATAAAATAGTGGTTGGCATTTTAGGTATTTTCATTTTTTGTAAAGGATATATTGGCTCTGTTTGGTAGAGTTGTGAGAAAGTACTTATAGCTTATGCCTTAATAGCTTATAGCTTATAATTATAAACATAAGCTGATTTCTAACTTATAAATTAAGTATCTCCTGCCCCACTCAAAGAATAAGTTGATTTCTGACTTACAAAAAGCTATAAGCTGCATTGTTAAGTTAAACCAAACACATCAAAATAGCTTAAATTAAGCTGAAAGCTGAAATAAGCAGCTTTTAAGCTGCACCAAACAGGCATATTAGACTCTATAAGGTTCACTTGACTTTTAAAAGGGCAAAAATGTTATTTATAAAATTCAAATACTGACATCAACAAATTATATTTATTTTTTAACAGAAATTTAATGAAATAGGAAAATTTGTTAAGAAACTAAACACTTTAAGGATTGGATATAATTTTTAAAATATCGAGAAATCAAATGAATTCACCACCCTATTCACCATAGGGCCAGATAAGGCTGAGATTTTATGCCCATTAATATTTAGTTTGGGTTTGGAATAAAAAATTCTAGCCGAGCGTAATTTGGCCCGCCCCATTTATAAAATACTAATTATAATTTTATATTATTTTAATTATAAAATAAAGTAATATATATACATATATATATATAAAACAAATATATATACTTTTTTGAAAAAATTAGTCTAAAGTCCCTCTCTCATTTTTAATAATGGAAGAGATCCATAATATTATTTTATGATATTTAAGGTTCTTCAACCCCACACCCATATATCACAGAGAAATTTGACTCTTTCAAATCAAACCTCTCTCTCTCTCTCTCTCTCTCTCTCCTCTAACTCCTCTCCGCTGTAATCTATTGCCTCTGTGACCTTACTCCACCGTCTGCTTCGCCTGTGTCACTGCCACCACCACCGCCATTGCCTCCACCTCTGCTTCCGCCTCTTTCTCCTCTCATGTCACAAGACCTCCATTTACTTCGATTATCAAGCCCTTGGTTGAATCTCTAGTCACTGAACACGATTAAGAGAGATTTGGTTTTCAAATCTCGGTTTGTAGCAATCTCTCTCTCTTGCTTGCATTGGTGGGTTTGGTGATGGTGGAAAAGAGGTTGCGATAGCGGCTCAGATTTGGCTTGATTGCGATGGCGATGGCTGTTTTGCAGCGATCTCCCTCTCTCAGCCGATCATTTGGTCGTCGTGATGCATGGAATTCTTGGAAGGCCATATATATATATATACATATCCATATATATATATATATATATATAATAATATAGTAGACATATATATACACTCATATGTTCCTAATTTATGTTTTTGTTTTGTGAATTATTTAATTGGATCTTGGTTTTGATGATATTTGCTTTAAATTTGATCAATTTGAATGATAAAATTGGATTTTTCAATTACTGTTTGATATGCTTTAGACCTTTTACCTTTTTTGTTCCCCTAATATCTTATATTTCGTGATTTAGAAATTCAGAGAAATCTAGAGAAATTCTCTAGAAATCCAAAAAAAATCTCTAAACTAGAATCCAAAAAATTTCGTAGAATTTCTTAGAATTTCTCTGAATTTCTCTATTCGTTTCAAGGTTTATAAGCTGAATGAAGAAGAGCACAGATGGGCTGAAGTGACAAATTTGGGTGAGAGAGTATTGTTGGTGGATACCTATTGCTCCTACTCTGTTTTTGTTGCAGATTTCGATAGATACAAAGAGAAGAATTGTGTTTTCTTTTTGGATGAATGTTGCAGTTTGTATGATGAAAACTTTCATGATCAATATGATGAACTTAAGGCATATGGTCAATGGGAAACTAGGGTTCTTAGTTTGGAGGATGGGAGTGTTGGGCCATTAGTCTTTTACCCTGGCTTTGCTAACATTTTTTGGCCTTTTCCAACTTGGCTGCTTGTCTCAAATTCATCTTCATACCTGTCTTGAAAGTAAAGTTTCAAATACTCTACTTTTTTTTTTAGAAGCCCCCCAAAGTTTTGATTTTGAATCATTATTACAGTTCTTTGTTGTTCGAATCTAGAGAAATTTTTGCGAAAATTAGAGAAAATCTCTAGACTGGAATCCAGAGGAATTCTCATCCAATTTTTTCTGAATTGATGTTGAGGGACCTTAAATATTATGAAAATATTAGATGTACTTTATGTTATAAAATCTTTGAAAAATCTAGAAATCCCCTAGATGTTGATTTGTGATTATGTATCAATTTTAAGCAGTATATAACAATCCCAATCAAACAATCAAGACAAATCGA